GAGAATCAGCTTTAGAAATTTAATAAAGTTAAATAAACAGAGGACAGAGAGACCTACACAGGCATATATTTCCTCAAGACATCTATAAATGGCCTAATTATTTAAAACCTCTCATTCTCCCTATCTCCAACATAATATATTAAAAAAAGATGCACACCCAGCAGGTTACTGACCTTACTATTATGAGGTTACATCATAAAAACCAATATCGTCGTCATCATCATCTGTGATATCGACTTCATCGTCATTAGTACTATTATTACCTTCATTCCCCTCATTCTCCTCATGATCACTGATGTACTCTACCATTGTGTCATCCTCTTCGTCAGAATTTTCTTCGTCATAACCAACTTCATGTTCTGTTTGAGCCTCCAATTCAATTACATATGCATCTAGGGTAACCGAATCAACATCATCTCTATGTAGTTGACTCAACATATTATCCGTATCATTGACAATTGAATTACTTTCAAGTGAAACATCTTGATATACTTCATCATTTGTTTCGCCATTTCCTGTCTCTGAATTTTGCATCTCTGGCACATCATATAAGTGTCTATCTTGAAATTTTAGGACAATTCGCCAATTTTCTCCCAATTTCGGATCATCAATATAAAATACTTGCCTTGCTTGAGTAGCTAGTACAAAAGAATCATGTTCATACCAAAATCTATTAACATTGATGCTCGTAAGATTTTTATCTTTTTGCATCCCTGTCTTCTTGCGAAGATCAAACCACTTGCATTTAAATAGCAGAACTGGATTGCCATTAAGATACTCTAACTCAATCATGTCAGTTATAATACCATAAAAATCAATCACCTCATTTTCGTGATAGCCTTCAACAACTAGACCGCAATTTTGACTTTTACGTAGTTCATCGCGTCTTTGAATATGGTACCTAACACCATTTACAGTACACCCATTATATGTTCTTCCACGTACATCAGGTCCTATTGCCAAAGGATATAACTGATTGATAGACACAGACTTTTCCTTATTATATAATTGCATAATCTACAATGAAAAAATTATTACTTTTAATTAGTAAAGAGGAAAACAAATTAGAATTTAAACACATTAAGATGATTCTTATCTTAAAAAGTTACTTACTTTCCTTTTGAACCATAAAGGAAATTGTTCTCTATGTTTCTCTTTTATATTCACAACAACTTGCTTAATCAACTCTTCTTTATGCTCCCTGCAAAATAAATTACTTATAAATTATTTAAAACAGAAAAATAAAAATAGAGAGAAAAATAACATACCGAAGAAAAGGTTCTACTTCTTCGCAATTATTCAACACATACCACCGAGCCATATCGAAATCATTCTTTGGTATGATATCATAGTTTCCATCTCCAAATGGTCTAACACTCTTTGAGAATATGTCCAGAACAACTTCATCTTTGTTACTAGATCCATTATCATTTCGATCTTCACGATTAAATCTAGTTTCGATGCCAGTAAGATACATAGAGCAAAATGTCAAACATTCATTAATAAGATAGCCTTCTGCAATAGAACCTTCTGGTCGTGCCTTGTTTCGCACATAACGCTTAAGCTTGCACAAAAATCTTTCAATTTTGTACATCCAACGATATTGTACTGGTCCCCCATACATAGCCTCTCGTGGTAAATGCACAGCCAAATGTACCATAACATCAAAGAAAGCAGGTGGAAAGATCATCTCAAGCTTACACAATATTAAAATTATGTCCTCTTCTAGTTGTTCTAAGTCATCTTTTCTCAAAGTCTTGCAACATAATCGTTGAAAGAAATCGCCTAACTCAATCAATGCTGAAGAGACATCTTTATTTACAAATCCACGAATAGCAATAGGCAGCAGTCGTTGTAACAAAACATGATGGTCATGACTTTTGAGTCCAGTTATCTTATCATCATCCTCATTTACACGCCGTGAGATATTTGAAGCATAACCATCAGGAAATTTAACTGATTTTAAAAATTTATAGAACTCCTTTTTTTCACTTTTTGACATATTACAACAAGCAGCTGGCATTTGTATAACTAGAACCATTATCTTGTAACCATAGTTCTTTTCTTATGTTCATATCCTTAAGATCTTGTCTTGCTTTATATGTATCCTTAGTTTTCCCTTCAAGACTCAGTATTGTCCCCAAAATATTCTCGCAAATGTTCTTTTCTATGTGCATGATATCTAAATTGTGCCGCAACTTCAAGCTCTTCCAATATGGCAACTCAAATAAAATACTTCCCCTCACCCAATTCAACTCTTCAGGAAGACGTTTTCTTTTCTTATTATTGGGGTGCTTTCCTAGTCTATAAGTACTAAGAAAATCCAATTGTTGTAAGACATCATCTCCTGAGAGCTCTTTTGGTTTCAATCTTTTTTCTATCTTAACATCAAATTTTTTGCTTCTTCTCCATGTGTGCTTAGGGTCAAGATACCGGCGATGATCCATGTAACATATTTTACTTCTTAACTTGTGTGAAGGTGCATCTTTATTGCAAGTAGGACATGCCATGTATCCCTTAGTACTCCATCCGGATAAATTACCTAATCCATAATAAATAATATATGTGCACATTAGTTTATATTCCTAAACTATACAAAAATTACTTACAAATAGTATACTAGTAAAACTTATACAAAATCTTCTATTTAACAATTATTTAGACATCTTGGACAGTAAGGAGTTTAAGAACTTACCATAAGCTGGAAAATCATTTATGGTCCATATAACAGCAGCATGCATCTTGAAGGACTCCCCTGTTGATGCATCAAATGTATCTACACCTTCACTCCATAACTCATTCAATTCATCAACCAAAGGACGCAAATAAACATCAATATCCTTCCCTGGTGCTTGAGGACCAGGAATAAGCAATGACATTAACATAAATGGATCCTTAAAACATTTCCAAGGAGGAAGATTATAAGGAACTAGAATGACAGGCCACATACTATAAGTTGTGCTCATGTTACCAAATAGATTAAAACCATCGGTTGCAAGGCCGAGTCTAATATTCCGAGGTTCTTGGGCAAACCACTGATGATTCTTGTCAAATTCTTTCCACTCTTCAGAATCAGCAGGATGCCTCAATACATTTGGCTCATCAAGACGTTTTTCTTTATGCCATCTCATGTCCTCACTTGTTTTTCTTGACATAAATAACCTTTGAAGTCTCGGCTTTAATGGAAAATATCGCAAGACTTTATGAGGAATCTTTTTATCCTTTCCGTTATTAATTTTTCACCTCGAAGTACCACAACGTGGACACTCTTGTCTATCTTTAAGCTCACCCCAATAAATCACACAATCATATTTGCAAGCATGGATAGAAATGTATCCTAATCCCAAACCTTGCAGCTGGTTTCTAGCATCATAATATGACTTAGGAAGTGTCTCACCATTTGGCAGTTCCTCCCGTAGTAACTCTAGCAACATATCAAATGACTTATTACTCCAATGATTGTACACTTTCAAGTGTAGCAACTTCACAAGGAATGAAAGCTTTGAGAATTTCTGACATCCCGGGTATAATTCATGTTCAGCTTCTTCCAACAATTTGTCAACCTTTTTGGCTTCCTTCTCACTCATATTACCATATATATTATTACCAGTTGTTGTCTCCTCCGAAAAATTGGTAAATGATCTTCCACTGGCATCTTCTAACGTAGCGTTAATTCCATCATTGTTGTCATGTTCTTCATCTTCATCTTCGTCTTCGTCTTCGTCTTCATCTTCGTCTTCGTTGTAAATTGCTTCATCTTTATCTCTCCTTTGTGATTGTTCCCCATGGTATATCCATTGCACGTAACTTCCCGTAATTCCTTTTATCAACAAGTGGTCATACACTACATCTTGTGTTTGAAAATCTATATTTAAACAGTCTTGGCATGGACATCGAACTTTAGAATTTCGATCAAAGTTTGACCGAACGAGTTGCATAAAAGATTGAACACCCTCAATATATTTTTTAGAGAACTTCCGTTCATGCATCCAACCTTTATCCATGATCAACTGCACAAACATATCGACAAAGCAAGCTAAGTCAGCCATGCAGTTATAATTGAGTTTTAATTAAGCAAAAGAGAAATGCATTTATTATCTTTCAACATGTCATAAAACTTCTGCTGAGAGAATTGGCCACACAATTACGTTTGATCCAAACTGTTCCTTCATGTCTAGAATAGCTAATAGAACTGTTAGTTAGCTAATTATATTGGATTAGCATTAGTAATAAATAGTTAGCTAAATAAATTGAGCCTGTGTATATACACCATTGTATAGCACTTGGGAGTATCAATCAATGAACGAAATCCTATTTCTCACTTCTCTCTATTCCATTCCCTCTTCTTCTCTCTATTCTCTAATCCCCCTTTCCCCTTCTAATGCTTTTCTTAGTGAAGGCAGTCCCTCGTTCCAGTGATATTTGCTTGTACACTGATTTCTTAAAATTTAATGCAACATATGACTTCCTAATTTATTGTTTTCCTCTGAATCCCAGCCCAAGTTAAGTAAATAAGTACCCATCTATCCACATACAAAAAATCAAACTTCAATTCATTCTTATGACAAATCAATTCATAAATCAAAACTCAGTATTCGGATGTTAAGAATTAAATAGAGAGGAGAAGGCAGCGATAGAAATAAAAGAGGAGAATTTACCAGAGTGGTCTGATAGCGAACAAGGGGATTACCAAGAGCAACGAGATGCAGCGTCAGGAGAGGGCTGCAGCGACAATTCTTTTTTTTTCTTATAAAAAGGACGGACGAGGGGAGATGTTGAGGACTTGTGGTGATAATTCCTTGTTTGACAAAAAGAGTGACCAACAGATTTTTTTATAAAAATAGAAGAAAAAATGTAATCCATAACCCAAGCAGATTGGAACTCCAATTAAAGTTTATGATATCAAAGTTTGTAGAAGAAAAATTAATCAATTATGCTCAACTTGCTCATATGCGGAAAAGTGAACAAAAATATATATTTGTATATTTTCATTCATGCTATATTTACACAATACTTGAGGTGTTCATTGTTCAATCTGATTCAATTTTTTACCTAAAAAGCAACTAAATCAACAAAGTTAATTTTTTGTTAATTTTTATTTGGTCTTTTAATTTCCCCTATGATAATAGGCTAGATTCATGTAATTTGGCGACTGTTTATGCCCCAGCTTGATTATGTTTCACTGTTATTTTATATGAGTGTTCAATTACGTTTTGTATGGTGATTAATTGAATGGGCCCTTGATTAATCGTGTCTAATTACCTCATATTGAACAACACCACTTTTAGGTAATTGAAGAGATTCATTACTTGAACTAAAAGTGGGTTTAGAGATAACGAAACTTTGCTGGGATAATTTAGATCTACACATATTGCCAGCTAGAGTAGTTCGAGAAAATGCTCTAGTAAATTATCGTAGTTGATCGAGAGAAAATTACGATAACTTATAGCTCTTAAACCTCATAAAGTAGTACGGCGAGATTATAGCAAAAGAGTTAAAACTTAAACTAGAAATTGAGGAAATCAATGCCCTAAACCTTTTTACCCTTGAATTATCTTTAATTTAGCATATTGTTGTTTTTAATATCATTTGAAATAGTTAAACAAAAACCCAAGTTGATTGATAAAAATCTTGCATCTGGAAATTGGTTGAGTTGAAAATAGCATTGCCAAGAGTTGTAATAGATAGATTAGTTCCATGAGGATTCGACTCCGGAATTAAAAAAAACGGATTATATTTGCAACGACCGCTTTGTCTTTAGAAGGCATAGTTGGCCGTGATCACTCTATTTCACATGTTATTCTAATTTAATCAATTCAAGTTATTACAGTAAAGAAATACATTTATTTGTGAGTAGATATTTTCGGTAGAATAAAGTATCTATAATTTTCTTTTTACAAGTACAAATAATGCAATAGTGTTAAAGTTAATATGAGATAAAAATTAACAATACTTAATTTTTAGATAAATAAAAAATAATAGTTTCTTAAATACTATTATCAAACTACACATTTTACCTCCCTAACATAAAATAATTAATAAGTTTCATCAATACTGTAATTTAAATTAGTATTCCTTCAAGATTAAATACATAATTACTTTCAAATTTGACATAGAACTTAAGACATGAAGATTAGCGGCGGTCGTTCTGGCAGTTTGGATTGGATATGAAATTTTCGTTTTGGTTTTCGGATTGAAGAAATGACAATCCAACTCCAATCCATATAAACTCGGATCGGATTGGATTTTTTAAGTTCAGCAAACCGATACCCAACTGGTCGCTTTGAGCTTTAGCGCGTCGTTCGGCAGTTTGAGGCCATGGACATCTTCAGTTCAGGTACTATGACTCGTGCACATGGTCGTAATTCGAATTCGGGAAGTTTGAAGTCGATTTGGAAAGAGAATTCTTATTTCAGAAGCTTTAAGTTGGAAGAATTGGCTAAGTTGTGATTTTTGAATAAACGACCTCGGAATCGAGATTTGAAGGTTCCAACAGGCCTTCGTATGATGATTTTGGCTTTGGGCGAATGTCCGGATTGGGTTTTGGATGACTCGGGTACACGTTGTTTTCGTATTCATACTACGTTCGAGAGTGAACAACTCAACCTAATATACGTCAATGATTTATATTAGAGAAGAACTCTAATTGCTTCTGCGATCCCCCTCATAGCTGCCAACATCCGCTTCTGCGCTGCCAACATCGTACCTGCGGTGTCGCAGGTGCGTTCCACTGCTCCGCTCCTGTGATGAACGCCCAACACTGCCTAGCCCCCTTTCCAGTCGTTTCTGCGATGAGTTTCACGCTTCTGCGATGTCGCTTCTGCCCAAATGTTGTTCAGAACAGCAGAAAAATTAGCAGCTTCAAAGTCCAAAATTAACTCCGCTAACCTTCCAAAATCCACCCGAGGCCCTCAGGACTTTAACCAAGTATGACAACATGTCCTAAAATATAATACGAACTTAGTCGAGGCTTTAAACCACATCAAACCACGCCGAAATTACGAATCACGCATCGAATCGAATTATGAGTTTTCAAATCTTCCAACTTCTATATTTTGCGCTGAAATATATCAAATCAATCCGGAATGACTTCAAATTTTGCACGCGAGTTATAAATGATGTACCATAGCTGTTCCTATTTTCGGAATTGAAATCCGTCCTCATTATCAAATTTCCACCCTCGGTCGAATTTTCCAAAAAAAATTCTATTTTCCAACTTTCGCCAAAATGTGTCGAATTGTCCTAACTCTTACGGACTTCCAAATCCGGACACACGCCTAAAGCGAAAATTACCATACGAAGCTATTGACATCATCAAAACTCCATTCCGAGGTCGTTGCTCAAAAGTCAACTCTCCGTTCAACTCTTTCCATTTAAGTTTCAAAATGAGAATTTTTCTTTAAATTTAATTTCGAATCTTTTGAAAACCAAACTCGATGGCACACACAAGTCATAATACATATTACAAAGTTGCTCAGGACCTTAGGTTGCTGAACGGGGCGTTAATTCTTAAAACGACATATTGGGTCATTACATCTTCACCGCAATCATCCAAATACATTATTCAATTAATGAAATCATTATCAACCAAATGCACAGAGACATTAATATGGCCGATAAGAAGTAGTAATAATAAAACCATGTCCAACTAGAAAGTATTCTTATTAGGGATGTATATCAGTCGGTTCAGTTCGGTTGTGAATGTTATTGGCTCGATATATCGGTTATCGGTTTATAAATATGCTAAACTGATAATCGAACTGATAAGATAGTGATTATCGGATATCGATTAATTAGTTGTCGATCATTACAATTTACCCGATAAGATAAATTAATTTAGAGGAAAAAGTATAGTGTACAACACTAATTAATCTTATAATCTTGATTCCTTCACTTATGTTCTAAATAGTGAACAAAAGTTTTGTGGACATTTGGGGACCAATCAGCAGAATATACTGAACACTAGGAAT